TTTTTAAGAGTAGACTTGAAATTTATTTGAATATTTATTGAATATTTTATTGAATCTGCAGCCATTAAATTTTATCTTTTGTATGTTTTTAGTCAGGGAAATTGTTTTTATACAGGGCTAAACTCACGATTTTCCCTTTTCAGGATGTAGTTTTTTATATTTGCATTGTAGCTTCCTGAATAAATGTTATGTTGTTATGTTATGTTACTCCGCCATTTGAGGGGGTGTGTTAATCACATGTAGTATGATAAAATTATGATATAATCTCTGACAGCAATTTGACTTACATGTACATGTATCATTGTGCACAACATACCTTCCTGATGATAGGATCATCTGTGGTTGTAACTTTGTGAAAGATTCTATTCACTCCAGCTAATGGCACTTCATTCTTTGTTGTAACACGATCATAACTCTTTTCATAAAACTCTAATTTACCACACTCATACCTGCAGGTGGAATGGGGAGTTTTCATATCAACTCTAGTCTTAAACCTACCCATAACCCTTGGTATAGGGTATTAAGTATTGTCATAATCATGTACATGGACATAGAAAGTTTTAAATACTCACAGATCTTCAGGTTCCTCTACATTTGGCAGGTTGAGCTTGGAAAGTCGCGGAAAATCCATTTCACCATCTTCCAAAACTTTCCATTCCTCGCGCACTGCTACAGAAGGTGCTCTCTTGTGAATATTCTGAAATAAGTAATGAGACATTATGTTCCACTCAATCTATACTGTTTTTGAGGAGTATCAAATGGTTCTGAGGAATCAGATAGTGGTGTAATTGTTGTCATTGTCCTGTAAAATACTTTTAACCATTGTTACCATGTTTAACAAGTGTAAGTAATAACAATGATGGAACAGAGAATTAACTCTGAAGCGCAAATTAAAGTGCTTAATGAAACCCATGAAAAAACCCACTAAGGGTTAGCCCTAGTAAAGGGTATCAGGGAACTACACAAGGTTTACAAGTATTAACATTGGTTGCTGCACAAACTACAAATTCCATTTGATTAACAAAACTAAATAACCTGCCACTTTGTGTAAAATAGAGTACTCCTAAAACAAGTTTGATATAGTTACATCAAATAAGCAGCTGTAAGTTTTCTTTACTCTTCCTTGTATTTAATTTTTTTTATTTCTCAGGCAGACAAATTATGGGCAAGTCTGTGAGTTTCATCAAAATGTGACCCTCCACGGGAATTTGGGTAAAAAGATGAACACACGGGTGCTCGTGCCATGACATGGCACACTAAGCATGTCATAATGTCACAGATATGTGCATTTTAATAAGCAAAACAAAGAGTGTCACGGTAGCTTTTGTTTGCTTGTCTCGGGTGGCGTGTTAAATGTCACGCTAAACGTGCAAATTGGCATGCGTGCAATAAGGCACGAGTTTCATATGGCACGCGTGCGATAAGACACATACTGTAGCAGGACGAATGAGAGATGAAAAGTCACCATTACGAGTGTTCATTAAAAGCCTTGAAGTATTAAATTCTTGCATGTCTATCTGGCGATACAAATCATTAAAAAGAAACTAGACAAGAAAAGAAACAGTGCTAACCAAAAAATACATAATGGATTAAACCCCTGAATGTTTTATATTTCAGTTTATAAACTCAGACAAGGCCTATTTTTAATATAAACTGGCGAAGTAAGCTTACACATACATTTGAATGAACTAAGTCGGTTCTTGAGTCAGTCTTAATTTAAATTTGAAGCAGTACTGAAGTGTTCTGAGCAAAAAAATACCATACGGTAAGATTTAAGAAGGTAGATACAATAACATTTTTCTGGTGTGTCGGCAAAATACAGCAATCAGAAGTGAGCTGTGAAAAACAGAGTGAGAGAACTCTCGCTTGGTCTAGCACCAGACCCCTCACTGTCAAACCCAGTCACAGACTCACAGAATGGCACATTGGAGGAACTAAAGGAAACTGAAATTAAACTGCAAGAGACAGTTGCAGCGTTATCAGAACAACAAGATTTGTCTTCTGTTCTGGAGAACTATCATTCTGTTGTTGAAAGTTTCAAGAACATGCTGAAGGGATTAGAAGAATTGGAGAAAGTAAAATTGACACTTGTAACTGCTCTATTTAGAGCAATCAATCAAACAATGGCTCTTTTAGGAGCCACCAAACACAGTAAAGTCGTGACCAATTGAACAGGACTGACATCTGATTTTTGATAGTACATTGAGATCCTATTTCTTGTAGCTTCGGCTCTCTAACTGTACTTGAAGATGGGCTTTCTAACACTCTAGTTGGCAATTTTCTCTTTCTTGGAGGTACTTTGTTCTTGTTGCTCGACAGAAGGTATAGTGTGGTGTTCGTAGAAGCCTACAACTCACAGGGTAGACACGGCCGTGCAAGAGGGCGGTAGGGATAAAATTAACCTAAGACCCAAGCCTCTTGCGCAGCCATGTCCACCTTGTGAGTCAAAGGTTCTGGCAGACACAAACAAGCATGGAAATTATGGCAGAAAATGCTCGTTTTCAGCATAGTGTGTGGGGATTTTTTGAACTGAGACACTTTTGTTCCCCATACTATACAATACAATACAATACAAACTTTATTGACACTCCCTAAAGTAGGTTTTTCAGTGACAATGATCTAAAAATTACAAAATTACAGTACTAAAAAGTATAATAGAAAAATTAAGGAAGCTAAAATGTTGATAAATGTTCGCCAAAGTTACAACTAAGAGCGATGAGAAAGGAAAGCAGCAAGTAATTTGGCTCTAAGTTTACCCTTAAAATCACGAGAAGAATTACAGAGTTTGAGAGTATTATCTAAACTGTTCCATAGACTTGCTGTACGATAAAAGAAAGTCCTTTGTCCAGATTTAGTTCTATATAGGGGTATAGAACAACTTACTATTCCTTATAACGCATTCAACAGTGTCGGACATTAGCACTCACCCGCTCGCCTAGGCAAGTGTGAAAAGTGTCGGATGAGTGCAAATTCTCGATCACTTGCCCGTTTGGTGAGTGCAATTTTCGTCACCAAGAAATTATTTAAATATCAAAATAAAAATGTTTTTACACTCCATTTTGGCAAGAAAATTCCTAAACATAAACTTACCATTTCTATTTTACAAAGTTTTGTATTCTGAAAGGCAAGTAACGTACTACACTCGGCTAAACAATATGGCTTCCCTCTAGTGATAATTACATAATGCATGTACTTGTACAAAGTAATACTGCTGGTCGCTATCGAGCCATCGGTGATCAGGTAGATATGGCACCTAAAATAGAGAGCGCTCCTACAAAGAACAGATATGTTTGCTCGCAAACTGCAGGGATTTCATGAAGATTCATCAATAAAAAATCTACTTGAAATATAAAGTAAGTGCTTCCATTGTGTTTCCTTGGGATTTAAGGTCTTTAAATAGAATTTTTCATTGAAGAAATAATCCTCGGTCTGCCACGTGCTTGACGACGTTGCAAGCGAATTGTTTTCCGTACTTTCCCAGCTTTCTGATCATTGCATGTTCTCCCGTAAACTGATCGTGTACAAAATAAAAAATGCGGAAATATATTTCTGGAGTCCCCAAAGTAGTCAAAGAGAAAAAGAAGGAAAAAGCCCCGAAAGCTACCTGTGATCAGTCAAAGGAATATGAGAAGTCAAGGACTAAGAAATTTTCAACAAAATGGCAAGTTGGCCAGCCGTGGTTAAAAAACGATTTAAAACCATTAAAAATAAATGACTAAAATGGTTGGAAAGATGTGGGGGTTGGGGTAAACTTTTGGGCCAGTGAAAACTGGTCCAGGCAAGTGCATTTTGAGGGTCACTCGCCCGAATGGTGAGTGCTCTGATTCAAATTCTCAACGGTTTCTCACGTAACTTAACACCATGTCACACAACGCGTGACGCTTTATGAAATAATCCTTTGCTTTTGCTCAAGACTTTTACTGGGACGCCTGTGTTGGCATTCGTTTTTGCAAACCTATCTGTTCAAATAATTTCTACAGGTGATCACTTGTTCGACCGCTGCCTTTCGAAATATTTTATTAGTTGTTTTTCATCTGTTCGAAAATTTTCATACGTTGTTTATCCGTTCGACCTCATCCATTTGAAAATTCTCATCAGCCATTTATCCGTTCGACCTCATCCGTTCAAAAATTTTCATTAGCCGTTCATTCATCCGACCTCAACCGTTTGAAAATTTCAATTAGCTGTTCATCCCTTCAACCTCATCCGCTCAAAAATTTTAATTAGCCATTTATCCATTCACAGTATCCATTGCGAACAGCTTGCCTAGCTGTTCCATTCATCATTCGAACAGCTACGTTCGGAACGTTTTCATTATTGAATGAAAGATGAAAATCGTTGCAGAATGAAGACGCATGACTCTGTTGCTAGTTTACAACAGCATTTTTCAAGGAATTGAGCATGGTAAGCTAGCGTGCTCTTTCACTCGTCAGTGTGCCATTTCACTCATCAATGTGCCATTTCACTCATCAGTGTGCCATTTCACTCGCAAGTGTGCCATTTGGCTCACTACCACGTCATTTTGCACAGTTTCTTTGTTTTTACGAGCTTGGCACACTTCTTTGTTCGACTGAAGACACGGTTTTGTTTTCAGCATATGATAAAAACAAGAGCAAAATTTTAATCAGGCGTGCCATTTGACACACTGCTAGCAGACCCGCGTGTCATTTGACCCACTACCTATTGTTTAGCGTGTCATTTTAACGTGCCTTTGCCTTCACTTTTCAGTGCTTTCAATAAGATTTGAAATAGGTGGCTACCTCGGTACAACACCCGCCGGAGAGCGACTTGATTGCGACTTAGCGTGGCGACTGCGACTTGAGCACGGTGAAATATACCCAGCGACTCGCAACAGAATAGCCGCCGGAGCTCCGGTGGGTGCCAGGTCTTATTGAAAGCACTGCTTTTTTACCCAAATTCCTTTAGAGGGTCACAAATATGTGACCCTGCATGGGAAAACGGACACCAACACTTTTCCGTTAAATGGTCTAGAAAAACAGTTTTAAAGGGATAGCACATAGCTCACTCAAGCCTTTAAAC